ACGGGCCCCGAAGGACGCCGATGACACAGGCGGACGCGAACATCTGGCGCACAACAGAAGTGACTTGGAGCAAAAGTGTCCAAAAAAATAACTTCGCAGCCTAAGTTATTAGCCATTTCCGACCAAACGCCTCGACGCAACGTTCCTGGGACTGGCTTAAACAAGGCGTCTAACTTTGAACAAACTGGTGTTTCGAGAACGCTCGTGTCGGGGGCTTTTGTCGCAACGATACGTGTGACGTCCGCGTTCCCGCTGAACCGAAGCACCATAGTTGCGTGGCCATCCGCTTTCAATGATGTTTCTGTCAGTTCAGCCTGTCACGCCCGTCCACACACACTGGTCTGTCAGCGTTAACAACGTCAACTGTGCGGTACCAAGAACTCGTGCAGACGGTGGATGTTGACAGAGACACAAACCAGAATCGCTGACGAGAATATTGTAAGATATTCTCACCACGCTGCGTTGCGTTTTGGCTTGCCGCAACAATTCTCATGTTGCTGCTTCACTCTTTCCGACACTGATCTGCGCATTGTATCTTCACTTGTACTGCCTATCTCCTTGTCAGTGCATATTGACCACGGTCAATCAGCCCAACTCGGTAAGCGCGTCGTTCCTTTGTGATCAGCTGGCTTGCAAAATTTCCTTACACGTAAGCCCAATAAATAAAGTGCAGGATAGGAGGCTGCTGATTGTATTGAGCTTATGCAGTGGCACTCTGCGTGTCTCCACGGGCTGTTATAGATGCCGCCAGATAGCCCACCATCCGAGCGGGATCCCATTTACTCCGAGCGATAAGGCCTAGATAGCAGGTGCAAAGGCTGGCAAGCTCCATGAGGAACAATCAGCATTTGTCGCGTGCGGATGGGTGCGGTGCACGATAATACTTCAGGAATGACCTAGTTTCCGATGGACTGGACCGCCTATTGCCCTAAGAATTCACCAATACGTGTCTGTCCGTCCGCCAATCAAGCATTGGCCCGTGATTTACCACGAAAGGATCCAGACAGTCTGCGCCGTGTTGGGCAAAGGCCACATATCAGTATCTATCGTCTGCACATCTGAAACAATGAGCTTAGGACTGCCCTGCTTAAAATTGGATTCAGACTGTTACATAAGTAACCCACTGACGCACGTTTCATGCGAGTACAACCGAGTCCTCACTGGTTCGCTGTATGCGAGGCATCGGCGAGACCGTAGGCCGTTTGATGAGGCTGCCTGTACCGGAGCGGCTATCCGAACTCGACACGGGAACAAACGTCACGCTACCACACATGTTCGAGCAACAACCCCGTAAACATGGAGAAGCGGGAGACGCTGCTCTATCCCATACAAAACGAGCACAAAGTGTGCCCCATCTAACTTCATCTATTCATTTTTCATTACGCGGGTCATTACCGATATGTGAGCCGGGCGATAAGTAATGGAATAAATTCCCACTTGCATGCCTGTCATTCCGATTTTTATATGTTTTGTGTAACTACAGATATTGACTTACAGATATTGACTTATACAGATATTGACTTTTTTACAGATATTGACTTATATTGATTCGCCAGGGTGCGCTGAGACTTCAGGAACAAGATCCAACAATTGGCTACTCTGGTACTGCACTGAGAACCTCACTGCATTAAATTGGATTTTAAAAGCACATTCACTGAATAATTTTTAACACAATGCAGACTGCCCAAAACCACGATTCAGGAGAAGTTCGAAGGGAGGAAGCCATCAGAACATATTTGGCTAGTATCATTTCCTGGCCCCACAACCTTAAGGATAAAAAAGCCAAACTCTTGAATGTATGGCTAATGGCGATCTCGACCAGTGCAGTTAATTTTTCGAGAGTGCATGCTATCTAAGCAGACAAAAACGGTTGATGAGATACCTTAGCCAGATAGATTGAAGGAAAACAATGCAACAGCTGCTATTATTCTAAAAAGCATTCCAAAAAATGATACAAATCATTCTACCAATATTTCTAAAGAACAAACTATTTCTTTTAAAAAACATTCCGAAAGTGATGAACTTTTGGATTCTGAACCAAGTTGTTCAGTATTAAGTCACAACCGTCAGCATGGAAATCGCTCTCGGTTTGTAACAACGTCTCGATACGACTTGAACGTGACGTCACCACTGAGATCCGTCTAGTGTCGACCTTGACCCGGCCGGTGCAGTTGTGCCCGCAGCGTCATCGCGCGGAAAAAGTGGGCCGATATGTCTTTCTCGTATTATCTGCGAAATCTTTCGTAAGGTGTTAACCGTGGCATTAAGCACGCTCGTCCAAAAAATCGTTACCTCACCAAACTCAGTTTTTGAAGCGTCGATACACCCTCGATAACTTGAGAACTCTTCCGAATGTGGTGGGATATATAATCAAAAGACCACATTCCATGACATTCGGGCGCACTGTGTTGTAAGCTTGCGTTCAACAATATTAAGCACAGGTAAGAGTGCTTATCTACGTGACACATAGACACATACGGAAAAATGGTAAGACGGTGCTTATTTATGTACCTATGCAAAAATGTTCCTTGCAAATGCACTTAGAAATTAACGTAATATTATTTTTCATTATTTTTTTAAACACAAAAAATACGCAGCAATGTATCTACGCCCTACGGATAAGTGGATTATGTCACTTCAAAACGGCACAGAACTAGCGGTTATAAGCAATGGCTACATATCGAAGTGATTTACGCAAAAAAGAATGATGCAAAATGTCAAATTTTTGTATTCTTCTTTAACTAAACAATGGCATTTCTTGCCACTAAAATACGGGAATTGGCGATTATCAACGACATTGACATCAAACATGCGATGGCCAAAATACTAAAGTGAGGTGCGTATGTATATTGTATATGGCGGTCGCTGTGAGTGACCAGGCATCTACGGAGGGGCTGATGGATGCACTGACAGTATTTTCTTAAGTCACCGGTCTTGGGTTAACTGTGCATAAATCAAAACTGATGTGGGTTGACAGCTCACGTCAACGCTCGGGTTTTGCGTGCGAGATTTGTACCAGCAGCGAAATGCATTCGGATTTTGGGCGTATGGTTTAGCACCACAGACAATTACGAGGAGGATCATATCAGGCCGCCACCGCACAGCGTGTTGTTTACCATTACCATCTGGCGCCAACGGATTCTGAGCATAAAGAACAAAATAACAGTGGCCAAAGCCACCTGATATCTAAAATGATATATAGCATCTCTTCTGTCGCAATTAAAACGATGCATGCGCAATGTAGTCCCAATGATGGTGTTATGTCCATGTTTACTATGTGTTTCCAGCCTTGGTAGCAATTAGTACTGCAAAATTGTGACAAAGCAGTGTCTTGTAAGCATTACACAACACAAATCTGAAAAGCCAGGGAGTTTAAAGTTGCTTCTTTCATAGTAGTGGGCAGGGAGTGCAATGAGATTTCTTTCGCAGGAGCTTGTACCGTAAATAAAGAGGGATGTCGAGAAAACTGATATTACCAAAAAAATCGGACGTGTCTGATCAAACAATGACTGAAAAGTACAAAAATGTGGCATACTCTATTTAAAGGAAGTTTTCCACATTTAGATGGGTTTTGCATTAAAATAGCCATCTAGGTGACCTTCCGGTGCTGTTCACAATCGTGCCGTTCTTAAGACCTATGTCCGTCCTGTTCTCTGAGCCACACACCGCGCAAATTGGGAGGGTATTTTGGGGAGAGTATTTCAGTCACATTGACATTCAAGACGCCAAAATAACTTCATTCAAGTCTTATCATTCCATAAGCCATGCGGCGATTAAAAACAAGGAAAATATAATTGTCGAGGCGCTTAATTTGACGTTCGTGAGTGAAATTTCAAGACGTAACAGCCGCGAGTTGGCTCTCGATCAATGTTGTGCAAGGTTCGATGACGCAAACAAACCATGGCGCATTGAGGAGCATATTATCAAACAGAGATTGTGCTTGTCTAGAGCAGTCTTTCCACTTAAAAAGGATACCAATAGTTATAAGTAGAATTGTTTCGTCATATCTGATACTTGTTTCCATATCGTCAAATGTGAAGGATTCCCTTGACAGGGAATGGCCACATTTGAGAATATTGAAGTGTCCGACGGGGATCAGAATTAAGGATTCCTGGACTAAGAGTGTAATACTGACACCGCGGGAAGTTAATCCAAAATACCGTGGAAAGTAATACTAAGGGACACGGGTGGAAAACCGGTCGATGTAAACGCTAGAGACTCGATGTCACAACTGAATCTGAACAGACGTGTCCTTGCATCCAATATACGCACAAGAGACTTCCACGTCATTGAAATAGACATCGTCACATCCAATGCTTTGAACAGGTGGGAACACGAAGGTGCGCATGGATCTGCAAGAGTGGTAGGGAGTTTCGTACATCCATTATACTTAAACGGAGTCAGCTATACGCCAATGGTATTAACTTGAATATTTCATCCTTATGTCGCTACTAAAAACCCTTTATCTAAGGCGCGCAGTTCGTGCTTCAAGGGTTCCTAACTGCAACGGAAATGCATTGTTTCGTCATGGCTTCAATCGCATGTCTGTACGTGCCTTTTGGGACAAGGTAGTTGCAAACATGCATAGACATAGCACCTGTAGAGTGGCTGCATGCAAATGCGTACAATACTCTGTTTGAATTACTGAATGTGCCGCTTGTTATGAACTACCGCGGGTGTGAAGGACACAGCTTTGTTGGGCGGAAGTTTTGTTTGTTTGTGTTGTCATATGCAGTGTTCGTAGAAGTGACCGATTGGTAATTAACGTCTTGTCACATGTAATGTGTAGCATTTTTTCCGAGAATGTTAGTGTAGGTATCTATGCAAGCCTGTTTATAAGCAATCTATTGGCTGCGCCGATGAAATTTGGATAAAAAGTGGTGGAAGTTGGCGCAGAAAAATAGCCACTCCCCAGATTCCGCAAGTCTTATAACTAGCCAAGTCTATCCACCTGGTCATCTCCAATCTGCTTCAGACCGGCCCGGCGCCAGGCCTCTCACCTGGTACAGGTTGAACCACCGCAGCTGCCACTTGGAGTTGTCGGAGGTGCGCTTGTAGAGGCTGCCGCACATGTGCTGGTCGTAGCGCGCCTTCTCGGCCAGCATCAGCAGCTGGTTGTCGTTGATGCGCACGCTGCGCTGCATCTTGGGCGAGAGCATAGCCTGGACGGACGGGCGGCGCGCCGCTCGGGAGCGCCCCGTGGCCGCCGCGCGACGCAGATCGATCCCGCCGCTCCACCTGTCGACCAGCGGCGAGCGGACTCACACCGTGCACGACACGCCGCCGACGGCGCGGCGCCACGGTTTCACGCGGCGGAGGCGTCTGCCGGTGGCGGCGCTGACACGGATCACACGGCGCGCGGGACACCCTCGGAAGAGAGCGTGACGCTGCGCTGCGATCGGAGGGGAGCGCAATCAATGTCGGTGCTCGTTGTCCGCCTACCGGGCGCTGTGCACGCGCAAGGCAGGATTGCGCGCGGGCTGCTGGTAGGCCGTGTAAAACACCCTGCTGGTGGCCTGTGACTGATCCGACCTGTCGACTCGTAGAGCCCAAGGTAGGGCCAGCAAGCGGGGCCGATCCCACCACTGCGTTATTCTTGAAACGTCGTATGAAACAGGGCTAAACTTGACGAGGTGGGCTGCTGCTCCAGCAGGTTTTAAATGAGATGAGAATATGTGAATCCTTGGAACTTGACACGAGCGGGGGCGCGTGAAGTCAGAGCAGCGTTTGTCGTGCAGTGTGCGATTCAAGGGTATTGTAGTTCACGTGCGTGTGTTTTAGGATTATTTGTGCCGTGTTCGTTCTGTTTTGAATAGTTTTTAAGGCGTTTTTTTTTGTTTTGGCTTTTTCTAGGATAAATTGATAAAACTCTTCGAGTTTCCACGTGACTTCTGTGCCACTTTTGCATTTCGTCAAAACTAAGTTACATTAGGTAATAGATAGGTGCATCTTAGTTTTTGAGAGCAGTTGCTGTAACCTTTGGAGCATTTTTTGTTGATAAGTAAGACCTTCGATTATTTCCTTGTCAGGTCTGTAGTATGGGAGGCATCAGCTTAGTGATAGATCAGGCCCTAGATAATGTAGCTTTTAGGAAAGAAGTACAGATTTTCAAGGAAACGCATGCTTGTTTAAATTTTATTAAGAATGAGAGGTTGGCAAAGGTGTCAACTGGGTGCGGGGCAAAGTCAACTGGGTGAGGTGCACTCCACCTACAAGGCTGAAGTATGACAGGTAACACAGAATAAAGGATCAAGACCTTCTCATGTAGATGTTGGAAGTGCAGCTGTGCCTACTGCGAACAGTTCTGAGGCACTGCGAGATACTCCCAGGGTTGACCAAGTAAAAGCGATGGTGAAGCGGGGATTGTCGAAGTGGGGGATTCTCGAGCTAGACGTCTCAATAGGAATTTCTGCACGGGAAGGGAAGGAAGAAGATGTCTAACTAATCCTGCAGCCAAGATCAGGGACCTAGTGACACTGGTAGCGGAGGTCACCAGCGAAAACCAGGTCAATGCCGTTATTGCATAGGTCGGAGTCAAAAATATAGGGCCGGCAAATAGTGAGTAGGTAATTCAAGACTATAGGACCCTGAATCTATATCAGAGCAGCTCCTCAGTGCAGTTCCAGGGCACCGGTGGCCGGTGCTAGAGTAGGGAAACTTTGCAAAAGGCTAGACTTCACGTTTGTAGACGAGCGGGACGGGTTTTTCAGATGGAAAGATCCCTATCAGAGGGACAGACTCCACTTCTATGAGAAGGGTGAACGAACGCATCCTTGAGGGAAAATAGCGTCTGGGGATCAGAGGGTGAACATAAAACGCCTGAGAAACGAAAATTCAAAATTGCTAAGCAGCGAGGCAAAAAGAAGTGAAATAAAAGTTAGGTGCTTTTATGCCGATATAACAAGTATCAGAAACGATTTTGGGAGCTTTATGTTCATATGCCTGAAGAAAAATTAGACCCGGTGGCCACTAATGAATTTGGGATCAGTGAGCAGGTTGTGTGGGATAGTCTACAAGAGTTTGAAGCATCTGATTTTAAGATGTGTACTTTTCACAGGAAAGTGAAAAGGGAGGTGGGATACTAGCATATGTAAGGCAGAATATAAAATGTGTAATTGTAGACGGCATGAAGAATGACGATATCGTGGAATCTGTCTTGGTATATTTGGTTGTGTCGAAGGGCAACCACTTACGCACTGGAACATTCTACAGGCCTCCAAATAGGATCTGGATTTGTCAGGATCTGGGCATAGAATATGTGAAGAAATTGGTATAAGTATGAATGGAAAATGTGTAGTGCTGGAATATTTTAACAACTCAGGCTGGAGCGTAGATCTTGCCCAATCGTCGAATAGTTACGACAATATTTTTGCTTGTTTTGAAGAAAATTTTCTTCACCAGATGGTGTGCAAACCCACTAGGAAAGATGAGCTTTTGGATCTCGTTATGACTAATGAGGAGGGTTCGGTAGATGCTTTGACAGCATATGAGACGCTGGGAAATAAATGCCATACCATTGTAAGGCTTTTAATGTGTCTGGAAATTTCAGGTAGAGATAATCATATTCGTTTTCTGAATTTCGCTAAGGGTACATTTGCAGAGCTTGCTGCCTTCCTCGCCAGCATCCAGCGGGGAGATATTCCAACTGGTCTCACTGCACATCAGATGTGGGAAGTGGTCAATGATAGTTCAAAGGGACAGAGAAGGTGCTTCCTTCCAGGAAAATGTGAAACAAAAATAGTTTAGGAAGCCCCTTGGCTGATACACACGGTGCAGAATTTGGTGGAGGTGATGGAGGGCATATGATAGACAAAAAGTGCAGGAGACAGACATCAACAAGACAGTGTATAGGATGCCGCAAAAAGCTTAAGCAGGAAATCAGGGCAGCTAAAAGATTACCAGAAATATGGGAGGCAAATGGCGACGTGCCAGCTCTGGCGAAGTTAAAAAAATTTGCAGTTACCAAAAATTCAGATCTGTGCGATCTAAATCTGCCCCTCTCGGGGAGGTGGAAAGTCTTAAGCGGAGGACTGGATCTGACCAGATATATGGTAGAGTGTTGAATAAATGCGTAAGTACTTAAGCCTGTCCTGTTATGTGAATATCTAATAGATCACTGAGTTTCTCAGAAGTACCGGAGGACTGGCGCAATGCCAGTGTAGCACCAATTTTAAAGAAGGAAGCCAAATAAGTGCCAGCAGCCACAGACCTGTGAGTCTTACCTCACCAGCATGGAAGATCTCAGAGAAGTTCCTTGAGGCTAGCACTCAGTCACGCTTAGAAAGGCATCAGTTCACGAATAGTCGTTAGCGTGGTTTTCTTTCCGGTAGGTCCTGTTTTACAAATCTTCTAGAGCTTATGAAGCATGTTATTAGTTTGATAGATAAAGGCAATAGTGTAGATGTTGTCTTTCTAGATTTCAGTCAGCCTGCTTGATAAGGTGTTACACCAACGTCTACTATATCAGTTAAAATTGCGTGACATTGGGGAAAAATTCTTGGCTGGGTAAGGGCTTAGCTACTTAACAAAGAGCAGTGCTCAGTGGTACAAGAGCTCAGTGGGAGCTGGTAGAGAGTAGGGGTCCACAGTGGTCGGTGTGGGGCCCTTTGCTCTTCATTATTTCTGTGAGCAGCGTGATGGGGTCAGAGGCTGGTTCCCGGGCGTGGGAAGGTGGTTGCCAAACGTATTAAGTACAAAATCGGTCACCACTGGACATATAGAGGGGACACGTTCCTGTATCTAGGTGCAAAGCTTTCCTCTTCGACCAATACTAACCAGAAAAAAACTTATACATTGCGACGTTCGAGCCACGGTTGAATTTTGCGACAGGAGATAAACAGGAGCTTAGCCACAAACTTTCACCAGCCCTACGGCACCATTGATGGATAATACGGAAAATGTGCATGCACATGTGAGGCTGGAGGGAGTAAAATTAACTTGTTTTGCGGTGAGGCTACTTCAGGGATAAGAGCGAAGGGATTCATATAATCTGGCACGTGAAGTGCTGAAGTCACACGTTGCATTCCATTTTTCACTTCTGTGGAGTAAAGAGCATGAGAAATAGCTGCGTCAGAGGCACTTCCGGGAACGACAAAAAGGGAGTTGATTGGATTGGAGTGGGGATCTTTGGGATCCACCCTAATAAAACACCAGTCTATTTTGCCAGTCTTGCGCATTTCCTCAGAGCTGAGCCGATGATAGGCAGCACAGCAAAATATTACTATAATAATCTTGACCGGGTTATCATATTTTGATGCCACTCAAACTAAAGTGGTGAGCGAAGTCGCATTACAGCTATTAATCGCTCTTAGATTTGCATTCATAAGCAGTTTTCAGTCCGCCCTTATTTGGGTGGATTTGTCAATTTCCAAGCGCAATTCAATCCTAGGACGCATCATGACAATTGTCCGATGCAGTTCAGCTAATCAATGAATGCGATCATCTTACCTCCTTTCGGCCAGCTGGCATTTGAAGGCCAACAGCGGATAAAAGCATTGTGATTTATTTGTGTGCTATCTTCTGACGGACATGACTAATGATGATGAAGCATCAGCAGAGAAGTTTCCACTAACATAGCTTTTCGCTTTGGATTCCCTTGCAGTTAGCCTCATCAGTGAGTCTGGGCCTACAGGACTTCAGATGAGTGTACTGTCAGTGTGCCCCCACCAGGACCTCTGCTTGTGCCTCTAAACAGCTCACTTGTTGACGATTTTGTAAAAATCCAACAGAAGGGGCTAAGTGTTGCAGCGGCTAACGAGGCAACAAAGCAGACTGCAATGCTGTGAGCCCGAAGTGACTTTGTAGCGACCTTATGACCTTTGGCCGGTGATGCATCACTGCCGACGCTGGCATTCGATATTATGGTGCACGTCTACATGCGCTATGCGTACGTTTAAAAGTGATCATGATTTCCTGATTTGTTAACGGCAGTGACATTTATCGCTATCATCGCATTCCTATGTCTGCCCACAGACGCCTCCAGTCTGGAGTCATCGGGCACATTAAAAGTGGCGGTGCTTCTGCTAATTGGAGTCATTTGCTCAGCCGGTGCGGTCGCCCCGCCGGCTCGGTCCATGAGCATTCTTACGTGAACATTGGCGTGTTTTCCCGTTTACCATAAACATTTTTAGCACAAGAATTCAAACTCTTACCCCGATGTTCTCTCTGCCTTTGTTTGAGGGATTCCTTCGTTCAGGTCTTTGAGACAATTATTATTCACATATCACATGCGCAAAAACGGTATTTTTCTTGAGTTCCGGCGTAATTCACCTTGGCTCCAGCAAAGGAAAAATGTTGGAAGGCTTTCATTTTGCGATGCATGTTATCAGTTTTGCCAATGCTCCATTACATGCTCGTGAAACGGCCGCGACGCCAAATGGTCTGAAACGCCGTCAACACGATGATAAATGCCTTCTTTGTTTTCAACGTTTAAACGGTATTACAGCGGACCTGTTGAAGGCCGAACCAATCCATCAGGAAATACCAGAACTCTACAAATATGCTGATGGGGGTGAGGCAGTTTTTATCTCCAACACCAGCTTCATGGCTGCAAGAGCGCGCGGCATAGATATGCCGCGTGTAATCCCCGCAAGTCGCGTATTCATTTCACCGCACCACAATGGACCACGACGGGGCGTGGCTTATTGCGACGCCGGAGACTCCAGCGGACATGCGCAGTAGAGCTGTCCTGTTCGACGACGAGTGAGTGTTAAGTGAGTGAGTGGGTAAGATGAGGGAGCCAGACACATGTCTCCCGTCAGTGGCGGTTGTTTACGTCAGCGTCACTTTCAACTTCTGTGCCGGGCTGAGCTGAACTAGTTAAACGCTGACCCGGCTACAGCTGGGCCATTTCATTAGGCTCCAACATGCCGTCGTGCAAGAGTTTTTATTGTCGAATGATCACAGGCAACCGAAGCTTTGGAGCCATGACCCGTCAACAGCGCCAAGTTTCATTTCCACCGGGGTGACGTTGGTTTGGATTTTCCTTTGGATAAGAAGACAACAGTGCCACCTCTTATCTTGTCCATAACTTGTGTGCAGACCATTCTGGTTTGTATAGGCATCTTTCACGTTGCAAAATGTTAGACGAGAACACAATTTACCATCAAATCTGGACTGCATGAAAAGGGGGACTAACAAGAGTGAAGCCTACCGTTTGTCGTCAAGTCCTTGACAGTAGTCGGTCAAATTTGCCATAGAAATGTTCTTGTTCCGCCAGTATGCACCTACTCGTCATTTCACTTTTGCGAACTGTATCTCATGAGACCAAATATTAAAGTACTGCAAACGTGAAATGATAAGGATGTGCACAAAGACGAGATAAGGGCTCCTCAGAAGAAAACTTCACCAGAAATTTTCGGCAGCCAGGTTCGGGTAACAGCGTCTGCAAAACCCACACCCAAACCTGTTAGAATAATAATGGATTGGTTTCGTGCCTCGTCCGAAACAGAAAGTTGTCAGAGCTAGAGGCCGCACTAAATAGCGGCTGTTATCGATATCCTGGCAAAGCATCGTTTGCAGAACCCTTTAGCTACGTTTACTGCTGACGTTGGGGCGGGTATCCCCGCGGAGCGTGCTATGGGTCATTAGTCAATCACACGGCGCTTCAGCACCACGGCCTTCTCTTGCGGGGCAAATGCACCTTCACTGACTATCCAGGACCTTCGTGTCCACGGCACGTGCCTGGCGTTGGCTAAAAGCACGCTCCCACAGAGTCACGAGAACTGCAGTGCTCTGTACTTGTAGTGAGGCCGCGTGCACTGAAACGCCAGCCTTGGCGAGGAAGACTGGGCATTCGAATGCCTTCCACACACGTGACCTGCCTTGGCGAGGAAGACTGGGCATTCGAATGCCTTCCACACACGTGACCTGCCTTGGCGAGGAGGACTGGGCATTCGAATGCCTTCCACACACGTGACCTGCCTTGGCGAGGAAAACTGGGCATTCGAATGCCTTCCACACACGTGACCCGCCTTGGCGAGGAAGACTGGGCATTCGAATGCCTTCCACACACGTGACCTGCCTTGGCGAGGAGGACTGGGCATTCGAATGCCTTCCACACACGTGACCTGCCTTGGCGAGGAAGACTGGGCATTCGAATGCCTTCCACACACGTGACCTGCCTTGGCGAGGAAGACTGGGCATTCGAATGCCTTCCACACACGTGACCTGCCTTGGCGAGGAGGACTGGGCATTCGAATGCCTTCCACACACGTGACCAGCCTTGGCGAGGAGGACTGGGCATTCGAATGCCTTCCACACACGTGACCTGCCTTGGCGAGGAGGACTGGGCATTCGAATGCCTTCCACACACGTGACCTGTGTGTCTTGTCGGTACACATCACCGTCTGCCTTAAAGCTTGCGTGGCTGAATGGAAAGTGGCTACTAAAATGTCAACTTACTGTACAAAGTATTGTAATACTATGGTTCGTTATAGGGCACTGAGGTAGAAGAGGCAAAAAGAAAGAACAAGGAAGACAGAAAGCTTTTAATGAGCCCTCCTACCTCGTAGCGCCTTCAGAAAAGAGGCTGGTGTGAGATTCGAAGTCTCTTTCAAAAGCTCTTGATTTGCCTAATTTGCTTGACTATTCCAAAACCAACATCACATCACCTGCACCCTTTAAAAATATGCCCTCGTCGTCCGGGAGGCGGCCGGGGTCGGCGGGGCCGGTGACCCGCCCCGGACGATGGGTGTCTGGGAGCGGCGCAGTCCGTGTCGGCGGCACCGACGGGCGTCGATTCGGCGTGCCGCGGGGACCTGTCGCCGGTGTCGCGCGGCCGCGCCGCTAACGACGGCCCGTATCGACCTCGGCGGGCCGCCGGACGCACCTCTGCGTCGCGGCACCGACCCAGCCCAGCCCGCTCTCCGGCGACATGGGCCGCCCGCGGCTGAGCGGGAGAGGAGCAGGGGAGCAGAGGGGAGAGGACGGGAAGCGACATGATGAAAGAAGGGTGGAGAGACACAGAGAAAGAGATGAAGGTGGAAGGGAGGGGGGGGGACGACTTGCGTTGAGTGGAAGAAGGCTGCAGTCTGTAGAAATGACGATGTTGTTCTTTCCTCAACTTTTCTTTCTCTGCCTTTGTCTGTTATGTTTGCTTCAATTTGAAATGGGGAAGTGGAGAAGGTGTGTTCTTCTCACCCGGGGTGATTCAGCCTTTCTCATAGGTGTTAACAGTGGAGATGTCGACATTTAGCAATTATTTAACAGCAAACAGTTAGCAATACTTTCCTGCTGATGGTCTCAACCGATATTGCAGAAGCAACGTTCATTGAGGAAGGTGGATCGGCTGTCGGATCCAAATGGTCAACTGTCGAATCCGAATGATCGGCTGTCGGATCCGAATGATCGTCTGTCAGATCCGAATGATCAGCTGTCGGATCCGAATGATCGGCTGTCGGATCCGAATGATCGACCGTCGGATCTGAATGATCGGCTGTCGGATCCGAATAATCACGGATGAAAAGCACGGCTGATATGACTGTCATGAGAAGCCCGTCGGTTCACCGTTGGTTATGAAACGTCTTGTCATAAAGGTTTGTGGAGATTTTGTTCCAACAGATTGCGCAAATTGACTTCCAAACATCTATAAAGCTTCAGAACACCATGCCTGGGAAGGGAGCAAAGCCATGCGGGACAGCATGGTAAGCGCTATGATAGAGCATTCCCTCACGCATATTGCGATGCATTTGACGCATTTGTCTGGTCTTCAACCCAACTGGTTCCTTCTACAGTTGTATTGCATCAAAATATGCACGTTGCATTCGGACGGCTGCATTTACATGAGAATGTCGAAGCTTTCTTTGCACAGAGCACCCTTTTCCGAAAGTACTGCATATCACCGAATTTATTAGGCAATGGAACTATGTTAGAATCTTGATCGCTGCCCTGAATTCTCCAGTTGCGCCAACCAAGAATATAAACACTAAAATGCGCTCACAAAAACCGGGCTAAGCCGGATGAACGCCAGAAAGCCAACTGACCTAGTCTTTGCATTCATGACAGTGACACGACAAAGCAGGGGTGGTAAAACGTACCGACTTCGTGGATAAGATCGATAAGGCTGATTGGGTCTTGGTGGATGAGGTACCAAAATGCATAATTTCACGCGAAGTTTGGTGCCAGAAATACTTTTGACTGACAATTTTAGTGATGGCAATGATAGCATATTGCAGCGCACGCTGTACAACATAACATATGGCGTTCGTGGTAACGCATTCGCCACACAACGCCAGCAAGTCCTTCCGTAAAGACCCTTTCCCTATCCTACGGCCCCATGGTATGTTTTATGTCTCATCCCATCCCGGTGGCAAAAATATCCCATGATTTTTGACTTATCGCCGTTCTCGGTGACAGATCGGTGACAGATCAGTGTAGTTTCTATGCCCCGGCCGGTCAGCCGTCTTGCTGTTTCCAGTCTACTCTCAGTGTGGCAAACAATAAAATGCTGGAGAATATCTACAGATAGCGATTGATCTGGCCGCAAGGGCATATTTCACTTGTGACGTTCAACGCACTGCAACTTTGCAACCGGCATTCGCATTGCAGTTTCATGAATGCCTACCCAGGTTCAGATTTTGGGCCTTGTTGATTTCCTTGGCGATGCCGCGATGCAGCATCCTGTCATCAGCGACGAGAGGCATTGACAGTTCAAGGAAAGTCGGTGAGATGATTGGATCGACGTAGAAATCGGCATGGATTCAGTCACCCAGGCTTCCTTTCTTTGAAAAGATCGGTGCGTTCGGTGCTGGAGGCTAAAGGCCTCGCGGAAGGGAATGACAGGAGGTGAGAAGGGGTCTTAAGTGCCCATTTGTATCGTGTTTGCTTTGCTCCTGATTGAGCGTGGTTTCTAGACACTTCGATCTTCAAATCGGTGTTGCGTCTAGTGCCCTTTTCAGTTTAGGGTTCCAGTCCCCCTCCAAAAAGTGAAGGAATGTGCCAATCTGGGGATACCCTTATGTTGGGAGTATATTGCATAGTTTGCACTGCTCAGCCACCCCCCCCCCCCTTCCCAACTTGTGTTTGAGAAGCGTGCCCCTGCCTTAAATGTAAGCATTTCATTACCGTTTTGTTAGCATTGAAATGACAATCATTCCCAGTTCAACCTCTTGCTAATATTGACCCTGGCTGAACCTGGCTGCTGGAAATCTATGTGATAGTCAAATAATGTAGCCAATGAGGAGGCAGTGAGGAGTGAGGAGTGCGGTGGTGCAATAAATGTGGGCAATGATGGCGGGGTCCCATTGCCATCCCCCCTTAACCAAGAGTTTTACTTCAGACGGAAGGGGGTTTGTGGGATTGGGGTTTGACTGTCACAAAAGTTTAATAAAAATGAGCATTTGACACTCTCTGAAGACAGTTTCGTCTATTCGCTGATGATGTCATCCCTAATGTAACAGGAATAGCTCCAGAAGTGAGTAATTCTGCAGTGCTCATTCATGTGAGTATTTCTTTCCACCTGAGAATATACCAGTTGTAGCAGTGCAAATTTGTTATCTTTCATTATTGTTGTTCACGTCTTTGTTTTGTTGACATCTTTGTTTGCACTTTAACATTGACATAAAAATTTCTGGATGCAACTATTGATATAATCACTATCCAAATTAAGGGCAGGTTGTGATGGCTTACAGCCTGCCTAAAATGCAGCCTAGATTGGTAGTGAAAATCAATGCAGTTTGTCTGGTGGTGGCCTCATGCCAGGGGTGGCGATTTTTATGCGTGTGATTAGCGGGGGAGGGGGTAATGCGCCATGGACCTCCAACCCCACCTTCTTGAGTGTGCTTGTGAACATATTTAGTCTGCTTTGTTTTGATTGCAGGCAATTTGCATTCTGTATTTGCTTGTCCCTTATACACGAAATCAGTTATTTGAAAAGTGGTCATGGCCGGTGAATAAGACCCGGAGAGCGCAGACTTTATGTTATTGTTAGCTTTTCCTGATTTTGTGTTTGTTTGTAATCTTCCAGCTAGAACTATTGGGGATGGCAGCAATGAGAGGCCCAAATCAACATAAGAGTGGGGTAGGCTCCAGAAAATAATTTGAACTGACACTCGTGCATCATGCACAAGCATCACAGGTGAGCCTCAATTTGCTTATTACTTGGGGTGCTAATGACCATTTTGGATTGCCGATTCAATTAGCGCCAAATTAAGAATGCTGGCAATGAAATGTGTCGTTCTGATATGTCAGCTGAGGTTTTCCATGATCCTAAATACATTTTTTCTCACGGAACGTGTAAAATTTAATAACAAGGAATGACAGTCGAAATGCACCCTCACACTGATTGGCCGCTTTTCAAATCGTAGACAGACAGGGGACGAAGCCCTGCCGTTTTGGAAACTAAAAAAGGCAAAGCATCGGGAAACAAAATTGGACTGTTCTCAATAAGAAATTGTGATGCCAGAAAGCTTTATGTTGCTAATCGACCCAACTAGACCGGTCAAAAGTAAAATTTTCCTTAAAATCAACCTGTTTTAGCCTGGCATGCTTCTCTGTTAGAAACCATAGCTAAGAACGGCAGCCAAAATCCTCAACTTTCAGACTGATCGGCTGGTTTGCATATCGTGAACAGATGGGGGGGGGGGGGGGGGACGGCCCTCAGCTACATCGGGCATAAATAGGCGCATATCTTGGTCAATTATAAATGCAACAATTTTAGTTTGGTCTGTTTAAGCCTATATTTTTAAAGGAGGGTTCCGTTAATGTAACGGTGTCAGCCCTCCGCGCGCGGTCCGTGAAATCGTCAGTTGCCGCCCGCCCTGCTGGGGGGCTGTAACTGGGGGGCCCTGCTGGTCGCTTAAAGGCTGTTTTTCTGCTACCGGCTCTTCTAGGCAACGCGGTTCCACAGGATCTCTTGGGGCCTCTGAACGTTGAACAGTCCTGGTGGCACTTGCCTACGATTGCTAAGGGGCTTCGCTGCCTCCCCCCCCCCCCCCCCCCCCCCCACCTCACCCTAAACACCTACGGGTACCAATGGCTACCTTTGATTGTTAGGGTCTCTTTGGACCAACTAGGTGCTTCTTTGGCTATTGAAGGCTCGCCGGCCACCCAGTGGATTATTTCGTCGCCGTCCCCAGAACGATTTAACCATCCTCAAAACCCTCAGGACACTTGGAGGCCTTCTTAGCTGCTCGGAACTCTTTTGGCCACTGGGAGGCTCTTTTCATCAACCAAGAGCCCTTCTGGCTGCTCGTGCTGCTCTGCCCCTTGACTGGCCAGCGGCACTCTGGACATTTCGATCTCAGTAAATGCCCAAGGCTGCATGCCTGCTTAGTGCCCCCCTTGCTGCCCAGGGCCTTACTCTTAAGGGGCCTTTCTAGCCAAGGAGGGTCACTTTGGCCCCCAAGCAATCATCCGGCCACTGACTTTTATCTGGCTTCCCTGGCTGCTCAGGGTCCCACCAACCAAGCCATCAAAATAATCTGGCCATGACTGAGGTAACGGCGAGAGATCCTGTGAGGTTCGGGGGCGTCCATTTTTCCCCTGACCCCATAACACGTGAAACCTGGGGTTTTGCGGAGATGTGTGGAAGAATCGTATTGCCGCGTGCAGCGGGAAGAAAAAGAGCTGTGCTAAATGAGAAGGTCGATCCTCTGCCCGCTCGCTAGGTGCAATTGGGGCGCCCCAAGGCCCTTGTTATGGCTGAGAGGGCCTCAGCTGACTACCGTGGGTGCACGGGCAGCTTTAAGGACTTCATAACTACGTGGGGCTCCTCCGGTATTAAAAGTCCATTCAGCACACAAAATAACCTCGGTACCATCCAGGCTCTCTTCGACCGTTTTGGTATAGTGGTTAAGATGTGCGTGGAGAAACCAGACGTACGGGGCTCGGTTCCTCTCGGTGCCCGCCTTTCCTGCCAGGGTGAGAATCAGGTGGCG